GTTAACCGACAGGTGGGCGCGGCCGTTGCGCTCTGGGGGACGAGCCGTGGCTCGCGGCGCAATGGGCTTCGCTCATGCGGCCTTATCCGCCCCGGAGCGCCAGGGCCTGCTGGGCTACCTGGCTGCCTTGCGGTGCTTCCTAGTAGCTGAGCTAAGGTGCGTTTCTCCAGCAGGTCCTTGCTGCGCTGCCGTGTACCGTGGTGGAGCTGAGGGGGTGTCGGTGGCCTTACGGTGGCCAGGCGAGGCAAAGGCTCTGTGTTGTGGCTCTGGTTGCCTGGCTGCTGTGGCTCTCATGAGATGTGTTTTCTCTGCTTGCCCCTGGCCTTGGGAAGTAAATATTTTGGCTTATGGGCAAGGGCAGGACATGAATCTTTGCCAAGTGGTTTCCCCTAGGAAAGGGCCTGTGTTGCCCAGAGATGTGTGGGGATCTTGCAACACAGGCATCCTAGAAAAAGAAATCCTCCAATCTCCAGCATCTATGTTGGGTATGCTATTTCCTAGAACGACCTGATGTTGTTTACAGTTGGTGTTATGTATCGTGTATGTTTCCTAAAATAACTAGTGTTTTTCCCTATTTATTTTCCTTTTTTTTTTCCCTCTTCCTGTTTGTTTCAGCCTTTTGGTTTGTATTTCCTTTCTTAAGGATGCCTGAGGGTGTCCAGGTTTCTTTTTTTTTCTCTCTAAAAATGCATATCTTTTTTCTCACCCCCCCTCCCTTCCTTTTATTTACCTGATATTAAGCAACTTGGTCTGAGAGAGCATCTTAGAAATTAGCAAACCAGCACAGCTGTTTTATGCCTCTGCCTTGTCATCCCACCTGTGAAGAGTTCTGTTGGTCCTTTCAATTCCCCTTTTGGAGGTAGGCAAAAAGCCAAGTCCTGGTTCTAGCGAAGTTCTGCCAAGGCAAATTGCTCTTAGGAGGTGCTGCAAGCACTGCTTGTAGAGGCGGAGGTCTTGCAGATGGGCCCCTCTGGCTCCAGTGTGACCTGCTGCACTGCAGTAGGTGGGAAGAGCACCGCTAGGCAAGTGCTAGAGGCGTCTTGTGAATGCGGATCAGCCTGTTACTGCTTTGGCTCACAAAACTGCTGATGCTGCCCTTTTTCCTGTAAAATGTCCTGCTTGGCTCCTGTTGCTGGGTGAGAAGACCTCAGTAGAGGATGTTGCTGTTGCCTAGCAAGCTGAAAATCCTCTACTGCCTCTGTCAGATGGTAGCCATAGGGGGAAAGCCCCAGGGTCTCACACTGCTTTGTCATCTGCTACAATATAGAAAGATGCATGGCCTGCTCTGAAGTGGCCAAGCCTAGTGTCATGGCCAAGCATGTTGGAAGCTATAGTCTGAGAGCTGGGGCCTGCTTGGGAAGATAGCAGGGGAAGCTACCAGAGGGGGGTTTCTGCAAGCTGTGGCACAGAGAGAAGATGGATTACCTGGCCAAATCTGGCTGGTTGTGCAGGAAGGAGAAGCTGGGGCTCTGTGTTTATTCTTTATTAGGTTGAGAGTATGTCACATTCAAAAGCCTCTGTAACTTGTATAAGACTGGAGATGCTTCCAGCTTCTGTTCCTGTCAAAAAATGCGATTTTAAATGAATAAAGCTGCCTCACTGAAGTCTGTTTTGGTATGAGTTCTGTTATATCAATCTTCTTGGCAAGTTTTTTGGTGTCTGTCTTTAGATGGGGAGGAAACCATTTTTAGAATATTCAAAAGCCTTATTGATTGACTTGATATCAATATATTTCTTAATACACCCTTTATCTTTTCCTTTTATGTAGTACCAAGAAAAAAATAAATAGAAGACATCTAATTTGACTCGCAATATTTAGTTTTGATTATGTGTTTTAACCTAAATGGATTTTGTTTTTCAGCTGATGGGGTGGTATAAAGAATGAAAAAGCTCTCACAATGAAGTGTTATATAGTCTGCTTAAATATACTCAGAGTTACAGCAGGTATGTGGAAAGCTGCTTTGTTTGTGTCCTAATGTTTTAGTGTAGCTGAGCTGATAAAATGAATATCAGTAAAGTCTTGAAAATCTCAGTGCTGAGTTAACTCGTGGGTTAACACAGAAGTCCTGTTGTGAGCTCTGAGAGGAGCAGGGGCTTGGTGGTGGCTGTGCAGATGAAATTGTGTTGCTGGGGAAGCCCAGTTTGTGGAACACAGTGAAAACGTGTGCAGGTGCAAACAGCACTTCCCTTGGGCTTGGGTTTCCATTTACAATTAATGGAAGGTACAACTGGAAATAATCCTTAAGTGATGATTGTTTATCTCTTTCATTATCTCTCTTACTTAAGAAACTTAACGAGGCTAATAAGTGCCAGGAGGAGGGTTGTTTTTGGCCAGGTGTGAGCAATAGAGGATCCCCCACGCAGGATGGAGCTGTGGGTCCCGCTGTGGATGCTCCAGAGCCCCTCCGTGTGAGGGGGCAGACGGGATCTTCCACGTGCGCTGCCGCCCGTGTCTCGCTCTCCCTGGCCGGCCCCTCGCGCGCGCGGGCGGCGCC